TTGTGGCGGAAGGCACGAGGTGTCGGTTCGTGCTCCTCCCCTTTGAGGCTCTCTTGGGACCCTCTTGGAGGCTTTTGGGGCCTTCTTGGGCAGTCTGGGGCCCTCTTGGGGGCCTCTTGGGCTGTCTCGGGGCCTCTTGGCGTTATCTTCGAGCTACTCAGGGCCCTCTTGGGCAGTCTCTGGGGTCTCTTGGGACCCTCCTGGCCCGTCTTGGAGCCCTCTCACCTCCAAATCAGTTTAGCGACAACATGCTACAATGCGCGACACGCCCCAACACATCTGGCAATATGGGTGCGGGGCCCAACATGCAGACTGATGGGCGGAGTGCTGCAGGACCTGAGGACACTCCAACTCGCGCCTCGTAGCGCAGTGGTGGATCATAGCCAGGGCTGGCTGGGAGGATTGGTTGGAGGGTTTGCTGGAGGATGGTCCAGAGTAGTTGGTAGCTCTTCCATGGTCTTTTCCGACATGATTTGCTAATTTGTCGTGTCAGGGTGGCTCCGTGACCGTACTCGTCTCAAAAGTTCCAGGCGTTTGCAGCAAATTTGGCTACCGTGGCATCGCCACCCTCTGTATGGTGGCCTTTCGAGACCGCCCAGAATATGTCGCACGTTCTTTCGCAGATTCGAAGAACAGAAACATGCGGCATGTTCGCCAAGAGACCCGCAACATGTGACACCTGTTCATCTTGTCGACCTTGCAGGTGCGTATCATGTGACAGGACGTTTCCCCCAGAGGAAGCATGACTCGCGTCTGATGTATGGCCCAGTGGCGGGTAATGTGTGACAGCCTCCTTCCTATACGGCCATAGTTTGTGTCCGTCTCGTCCTTTTGCCCCCCCCATCATCTGTAACGCGTAGTTTTGCTTTAGTGGTCCGACGAGGCCGTTACATGACGCGAGATAGTTGATTTCCTGAGAGCTCCGCAATTCTCTGGCCAGGCCCCCAATAATCTTAAACTTGTGAGATGTCGATCCCCACTTCGTAACATATAGTTGTATGCCACACGTGGTTATTTTAGGAGTTGGAGAGTCGTAACATGTAATTTCTTTCTTGAGGCTCCAAGATGTCTGCCTTCTTCAGATCCCACGGAAACATGATAGCTTTCTTTCCGAAGGCCCAGAGCCAGAGCATGCGGCACTTCTCCCCATGCCCAGGGCCGCGTCACGTATACTATCTGTGTATCTAGGTTCCCCAGTGCAGAGTGTGGAGCAGGTTTTCCTGTACGACAGTTCGTTTCACAACGGCCCAGAGGGCCGCAGCTTGTGCCATCGAGGGTCCGGGGCTTGTGGTATCCAAGGAAGCTCTTGTTTGGCTGCTTCGGAGGTTCTGATGGCGTCTTTCTTTGGCGAGGTAGATTGGAGGGTAGTGTGGCCGTCTCTGGTGTGTTTGGGAGGTCTCTTGGCCGTCTAGCGGGTTTCCGTCTTGGGGCCGCTCTCGGTTTGTCCTGAGCAGTCTCGCGCTTGCATTGGGGCCATGCCGCAGGACATTCGTGCAATTTGAGGGTGTCGATGGGACCGTCTGGGGGGTCCCTTTGGGGTCGCTGGGAGACTTCAGGGCATCTCGGTACGTCACGGCGAACCTTGGGGGCTTGATTCCATTTTGGCCCGCGTGAGGCGGCATTACACCGCATTCACTTCTATACCCCTGGGTGGGTGTATGTCATGCGCGTGCACATGCGCAGCATGTGCCCTGCATGTGCCCGGCATGTGCGGGTGCTTTTGGATGGATGTCCTACTGAGCGCACGTGCCCGGGCATGGGCGGGGTTATGTGCACTGTGTTTTGGTGCATTCATTGGATGCACATGCCCGCACATGTCGACGCACATGCCCGCACACGCAGTGGTGACAGTGGTGATAGGGCATCGAAACCTTTTGCTTCCCTGGCCACGCGCAGCTCATTTTGACCCGACAGAGGGTGGCTTGGGCTTAGAAAAGGCTTTGACCTGCCTTTCTCCTTCCAACGGCCCGGCATGGGGTAAGGTTGCCACCGAGAATTGGCGGGAACGATTCCGTGTTCGATGTGAGTTCTTGCCCCGTTTGGAACAGCTCTTGCCTTGCCCATCCGCGATACATCGCGCACTGCGCGACAAGGAATACAGCGCGCCTGTCGCGAGACATCGTACCCTGCAGCTACAAGGAATGCTCCAACCTGAATGCGCGTTTCCCTTCCCAGGGGTGGCTCAAGAAGCGCGCCCCTTCCATGTAACTATGGCTGCCACTTCTCACCAAGCTCGCCGTGTGCCGACGCCTTTCAGGAAACGTCACCGGCCACTAGTTACATTTCGAGGGCATCCCCGGCAACGTTGCCTTGCGCACCGTGACCCCAGCACCAAATCCGGCAGCCGACGATGCGGTTTTAGACCGCACCGAGATCGTCGCTTATTTCACGACAGTGCGACCCATTGGCATGTGAATCGGATTTCTGATGCGCGGCGTTTTTCATTCCGCGCACCATCCTGGAACCTGCGCGGACCGTGCTATTCAAGACTCGGGTGCGTCATCGCCATCTGTGGTTCCAAGATCATTTTAGGACGCGCGCTTTTTCACCGGGCAAGCGGCATCTATTCAGCTCGCCGTTTGGGACGCGGCCCGAGGTCCGTCCCATCGCCGCGCGCGTCCCATCGCCGCGTCCTCGATGCAATACCACCGTAATTCCAGATGGCCCCGACAACACACACCTTGCGGATATTGGGTCGGTAGTTCGAGGTTGTCGGGGACGGACGCGGCCCACAAGCAGTAGCTACACGTGTACATGTCGTTGCCAGAGTTGGTTCTGATGTTGGCCCATCATGTCGCGATCGGCATACGCTCGACATGACGAGACCCAAGCGCAAGCCACGCGATGCCACCATACTAACAACAAACACGATAACTAGCTGTCAGCCGAGCCCAGCACAACCAACCGTTGCCATCACTGGATGAATTCACTCCGAAGGCACGCGTAGTTTGACGTCCTCGTCCCGGGCCTTTTGGCAGGATGAGGTTTTAGCCGTCTCAATCGGTGAGTCGGATCGCGTGGGTGAGTTTGTGTGTGTTTCCGCCGCAGTTTGATTCACAGCCCAGGTTTCATGAAGGTGGCGACGGTTGCCCAGGTGGCGACGGTGGGTTAGGTCGGGCCTGTCCCCCCTACAGGGGAATTTTGCGAAATAGAAATGCCCCAAACATATTCCAGGCATGCTCAAAAATAGTAAAAAAAAATCGTCCCCACGCAAATTTTTAGTATTTTTGAATAGCCCTCTTATTCTTTTTGCACCTCCCTCCTGCAGAGAGGGACAGGCCCGACGTAGTAATGGCAGGGGGGGGGCAGGGCAACATCTTGGAGCCCGCGTGTGGCCACGCTCGGCGGGGACCCACCCCCCCACGGCGTGGCGCAGGAGCGGCGGCCGGGGGCGCACAGCACCACCCGCCAGGCCACCCCCAACCCAACCCGAAGGCCGAGGCCCGCTGCGTTCAGGACTCGGGGGTGGACAGAACCCCCAACAGTGACACGTCGATTAGTGAATTGTCCGTTTTCGGTTCTCGAGAGGGCGCCGTGGCCGTTACTTTCCAGGCTTGCGCCCGCCAGGTTTGGGCCTCAGGTCGTTTTCACTAAGCCACGTTTTACTAAAGGGGGGTCTGTCCATCCCCAAAAGACGCCGCCCCTTCTCTTCTGAAGCTCGCTTGCACTAGCACGTGGGCCGATCTAGAGGGCGAGGTTGTGGATGATTCTGCTGCCCAGGCGCGCTCCGGTAGTGCCGTAGAGTCGCTTTCTGGGTGCTTCGGCCCCACCCGGCAGCGCCCTCGCGGCGTTCCAAGCAGGTCGCAGTTCGCAGTTCGCAGTTCGCAGTTCCAGTCGGAAAGGGTCGGGGAACATTCAAAACAAATAACGCATGGAACCCTTACCCCGGGTTGGGCTGGGGTGGTCTGGTAGGTCGTCAACACAGGGAAGCGAGGCTAACAGTTGGAGTCCGAGCAGCGCGGCAGTCCCAGGACGCACAGACGAATTCGAACAGCAGCGCGTCTGGCAGCTCCCAGAAAAGTCACCGAGATTTGGTCCGGGCCCACGTAGGGCGGCATTCTCCGGGAGTGCAGCAAAGCGGCGACCGTTCAGCGTATGGCAACACCCACAGGAGCGCAGCTTGGCACCACCCGCGGGAGCGAAGGTCATAGTTCGGATCAGCGCAGGGTTGCGCTCCGCCAGACCCCCCAGAGGCGCAGCTCAGTGGTGTCAGTGAACATGGTATGTTTGGCAGCACCCACCCATGGTAGCGCTGGGCCGTGCGGCACTATGCTGGACCCCCAAGGAGCGCAGACAAGCGACCATTCTTGTGTGTTTGGCAACACCTAGGGGAACGAGTGCGGTCGTTTGGGTTTGCGTCGGGCTTTTTTCCGTTGGACATCCCAGAGTCCCACGGACGTTGCTACACATGTGCATTTGACGTACCCATGATAAGCGGATTAGAGTGGGCAAATTGAGGGGAACCAGATCGGAAACGAAAGACAATGAAATTTGGGAGACAGTGGGAGGATGGAGGAGGCAACAGGGGAGAGAAGAAACGGTTCGCCGCACGTGTTCTGCTCAAAACAACCAAACCACAAGGAGTTTGGGGAGCACATGGTAGTTGCGGTGCCAGGGCAGCAGTTCGGTTTGTAGTTTTGCTCCCGCGGAGGGGTCTTGGGCGGATGATACACCCCAAGGACTCTACAATTTGTATTCCTTTCTTGTTGTTGGTCACGGAGGGCTGGCGATCAGACAGTGAATTTCAGAATTACGGGAACGGCAAATCATTTGCGTGGTCCTCGCGGGAGACGTTTTTTTTCGAATGGTTGACCTCATGTTCTCCCTCGGCGGAAGCAGGCGGAACGGAAGCCATCGGGCATCCGGCTGAAGGTGGCAGAAGCAGGAATTTGTCCCTTATACGGGTCGACGACGTCGATGTCCGCAGGATCCCCGAGGGTGGCCATATAGCTATTCCGTGATTGATGGCCAGCGCTTGCGCGCGGCGAGACGGCCCCGAGGAGAACGACCCGGCAGTCTTGCCGTGGGGCCGCGGAGAGGAGTTCATGACCTGGCCTTAGCGTTTCCCGGCAGGGTGGCGACGTCCACGTGGTTCGGATCGCGGGGCCCAGTCCTAATGTGTTCGGGTGCCCCTCCCTTGGATTCCATCCCCTCCCCTCCTCCCACTTCCATGCTTGCCCGATCCACCCCATCCATCCCTCGCTCTTTCGTGGGACACCTTCTCGTCGGGAGGGCGGGCTAGTTGTTTCGCCTGGCCCGGAATCTGGAACATGTTTAGTTGATACACGGGTGAGGGACGCATCGTTTTCAAAGGCCAGTATTTATTCGAGAGGGGTTCTCAGTGTATGTATGGCTTTAATGCAGATGTTTCCCATGCAAGTACATCGATGGAGGGCGGATCGTTTTCAATATCTCGTTCTCGTTTCCGAGCTTTCGTCACAGTTTATTACGTCATAATTTTCGAAACTCTCTCCAGTCACACGGATGACGGTCGGTGTGACGGCTCGGATTCGGGCGGTTGGAAGATGGTCAGAATGTTTGGCCATGGTGTAGCGGGGCGGCACAGCGCAGGTGACATTCATTCGTGGCAGGGAGCCCTTCAGGGACACCTCTTGTTTGTTTTTGCCGCGGCTTCGAGCTTTCGTCTGAGGTTCGGCAGTTAGCGGAAATGAAATCTCAAAATGTTCTTTGTTAGTGCTTTGTCTTCGGACCCGTGGAGACACATCGAAGTCAGGTGTGTGTATTGGTGACTGTGTTTGAATGGTGTTTGTGGTTGTGTGCGTACTTGTGTTTGTGTTTGTGTTTGTGCTTGTATTTGCGTTTGTGCTCGTGCTCGTGTTGTGTGTGTGCTTGGGTTTAGTGTTTGCGCGTTCGTTGTTGCATGGGTTTGTGTGTATGGCTGTGGTTGTTTTAGTGTTGATGCTTGTGCTTGTGATCGTGCCTGTGTCTGTGTTTGTGTCAGTGCTGGTGTGTTTGTAGGTGTGGGTATGGGTCTAGGTGTGTGGGTGTGTGTGGTGTGTGTGTGTGTGTGTGGGTGCGTGTGTGTGTGTGTGTGTGTCGGTATGTGTGTGTGGGTGTTTGTGGGTGTGGGTGTGGTTGCGTGTGTGTGTTTTTGTGTGTAGGTGTGTGTGGGTGGGTGGGTGGGTGGTGGGTGGGTGGGTGGGTGTGGGTGTGTGGATTGGCGTGTGGGTGCATGGGTTGGCGTGTGAGTGTGCGGGTGGGCGTGTGGGTGTGGGTATGGGTGCGAGTGCGGTTGGGTCGGTGGGGGTGGGTAGGTTGGTGGGTGGGTGTTTTTGTGTGTGTGTGTGCTCGTGTGTGTGTGTGTGTGTTTGTGTGTGTGTTTCTGGGCGCGCGCGTGTGTGTGTGTGGGTGTGTGTGTGTTGCTGGTGTGCGTTTGTGCGTGTGCCTTGTGTGTGTGTGTTTGTGCGTGTGGTTGTGTGTGTGCCTGTGTGTATGTTTGTGTGGGTGTGTATGTGTGTAAATGTGTAAATGTGTAAATGTGTATGTGTGTACGTTTGTATGTGTATGTGTGTAGGTGTTCATGTGTGTATGTGTGTATGCGGACATGCATGCAATTACGTGCATATGTAAGTGTGTATGCGTGTATGGGTATTTGTGGGTGCGTGTGTATGTGTGTATGTGTGTACGTGTGTATGTATGTATGTGCATGTATGTGCGTATATGTGCATATGTGTTCCTGTGTGTGCATATGTGTGTGCATGTGTGTATGTGTTCATGTGTGTATGTGTATGTGTGTGTGCCTGTGTGTTGTGCCTGTGTGTATGTGGATGCGTGTACGCTTGTATGTGTGTATGTGGGTACGTGTGTATGTGTGTATGTGTGTGTAGGTGTGGTCGTGTGTTGGTGTGTTGGTATGTCTGTGGGTATTTGGGTATGTGGGTATGTGTTTATGCGTATGTGTATGTGTATGTGAATATGTGAATATGTGTGCGTGTGTGTGTGTGTGTGTCTACGTGCTTCATACTCTGACTGTCGCCGCCTCGTCGCCGCGCGCGAGGCCGCTACCGCCAAACTGTGTGTGTGTGTGCGTTACGCTGGTTGGCCCCCCGCCAGCACACGTCTTGCGGCAACCAGCTCAGCCATCGCGCTGGTTCCTTCGCTGTGTTGGGCCAACCAGCCGCGAAGCAAAATAGTGTGTGTGTGTGTGGGTGTGTGCGTGTTGCCGCCCGAATTGTATAGCCAAAGGGTGGTCGCACGCCACTCGTCGAGGGATTACAACCACCGAAACTGGCCCTGTTGGTAGTCGGCGGGCCCTGCTCCGATAGAAGGAATCCGCTCGAACCTATAAAAGCGAATACGGTTTGAAGTTTCGTGTCCTACACTACGAGCCACGGTGCAAACTGTGGTGGTGTTCATGAGCCGTCGTCGTCGTCGTCGTCGTCGTCGTCCTTCGTCGTCCTTCGTCATCGCTCGCTGTCGAGATGCGAGAGCTGAGACGGTGAGCTGAGACGGCGACGACGACGATGAGCTGAGACGCCCGAGCCAAGGATCTCTCTCATGAGCATATCGGACTTCAAGGCGCGCGCGACGCCGCGGGCAGCGGGGGCGTCGGGTGTCCCCCACCCCGCGCGTGGTGCGGGGGCGCGGGCAGCTCAGGGGGCATGTTGGCCGTGGATGGTCTCAAGGACATGTTGTTTTTGCCCGAGGCCGGGATCTACATACATCCATGCCCTGGGGAAGCGATCTTCCAGGACCTCGGCAGGCGGTGGATATGGAGTTCCACATGGATACGGATATGGGTCTGGATGTATACATGTATACATATATCTACATGCATTTATATATGTAGGCGCGTGTGTGAACATGTGAATACATATAGACTTTAATATAGACGCCATTGTCCTTGGTACCCCTGGGTCCCAAACGTATCCACATCCACCGCTCCCTGGGGACCTGGGAGATCGGCTCCCCGGCCGGGGTGTGTATGTGTATATAGGTTTTGGCCTCGCATTTCCTTATCCAGTTGTTCGGAGTGTCCTCTTGTCTTGGGTCCTTCGACGCTGCATCGAAGCACCCTCGGGTCTGTTTCGCACGGAGGGACGGCGAACGCGATGCGGAGGATGAGGGCGAGGAAAAGGACGACGACGAAGAGCAGGAGGACACGCAGGAGCTCTGGCAAAAAGAGGGGACAGGGTGAGGAGGAGAAGGAAAAGGAGGAGAGGGAAGACGACGACGGCGACGAAGCGGAGTAGAGGGGGAGGGGAGGGGGAAAAGAACGTTCGGGCACAACACGATCTCACTTTCGTTGTCACCCTTCCGCTTCCTGGCGCGGCGCCATGGGCTTGCACCAGAAGGACCAGAATGCCCACATCATTACAGATTCGTGTGGTCGTCCTCCCGTCTGGTAGGTCGACGGTTCGAGATGCACACCGAAGTCGGAGTGTGTGTCATGTTCTCGGTTGCATCCCCTCCGCTGGCTTTCTTGTTGCATCGTAGGCGCTCCCTCGGGCGCTCGCCTTCATGGGGTTGCAGTTGATGTGTTTTGTGTTCGGCACATGCCACGCGTTATGTGGCCTCCAACCCACCCGCCCACTCCACTAGATAGCATACCGCCCCCCCGACCCACCCAGCCCCATTGCCCCAGCGCCTGCTGGTCTGCGCATAGGCACACTGCTCGCAGTGCGCGGGCAGAGTGCTTCCCGGTGTGCGCAGGCACGCGCCTGTGCTGTGTCGAGGCGCAGTTTGGCACCGTCAGGGCCTTGTTGTGCAAGGCATCGTGATGTACATGCCAGCAGCGTGGCCGGTGCCGGGGTAGTTTTAAGGCCCCGCGGGCGTCCTCGTGAGGTCGCGGGGTCCTCTCAATGTCACGCAGGTGGCCTCAAGAAGAAGTTGATAGACTGGCAAGGATCAGGTAGCGCTGGGACCCCATAACGTGTGATTGCTACGGTCACGGTCTCACCGTATCGTACGGCGCGGAAGGCTTCGTGTCATGGTTGCGCTTCGAGCGTTCAGCGCTCTTCAGTGGAGACTAGGCTCAGAGGGGAAGAGAGAGAGAGAGAAAAAAGAAAAGAAAAGAGAGAGAGAGAGAGAGAGAGAGCGAGAGCGAGAGCGAGAGCGACAGAGAGAGGAGGAGCTGGTGGAGGAAAGAGGTAGGCGATGGGAGGAGGAGCGGCAGCAGCATCAGGTGGGAGGCAGAGGACAGCGGCGGAGGCAACAGCGGAGAGAGAGAGAGAGAGAGACGCCGAGGACGGCGAGGCGGGGGAACACGGGGCTGCGCAGGAAGCAGACGAGGTAATCACAGGGGGCAGGGCAAGCGGACGGAGGAGGTCACCACCCACGAAACCACCCCAACCCAACCCGAAGGCCTCCATCTGCCCTCCATTCCCAGTGGGAGGGGGGGGGTCGGGGAACACTGCAAAAGCACATCTGGGACCCGTACCCCCCCCCAACCCGACATCCGGGTCCAATTCGGGCCTTCGGGCTGGGTCGGGGTGGCCTGGCAGGTAATGTTAGTCCGGAGGGGAGGGCGACGAGCGCGACCTGCGCGCAGCGGGGAGGGCGCACTGCGCGCGCTGCGCCCCCCCCGCCGAGGTGCGCGGCGAGTGCTGCCAGGCGCGGGGCCAGTTCGGCGAGGAGTTCAGCGGCATCGCCCAGGAGCCGCGCGCCCGCCGCCCGGCCGCCGGAGAGGCGGCATGTGGCCGCCTCTCTCGGCGTCGGCCTCACTCCCCCCTCCTCCTCCTCCTCCTCCTCCTCCTCCTCCTCCTCCTCCTCCTCCTCCTCATCCTCCTCCTCCTATTCCTCCTCCCCCTCCCCCTCGTCCTGGCGGGGGCGCCAAGCGCCGGTCCCAGGCCTCGCCGGCCCTAGGCCGACCCTTGCAGTGGCAGTGGATAGACCTCCTACCCTGACACGTCGATTAAGGAATTTGCCGTTTTCGGTTCGCGAGAGGGCGTCGCGGCCGTCAGTTTTGCGGGTCCAGGTCCGTCGGTTTCGGTCCCAGGCCGATTTCACTAAGGGGAGGTTTACTAAAGGGAGGTTTGTCCACCGCCGAGTTTGTTGCGTTCACCCCATCTTCCTCCCTTGCATCCTCC